GGCCCTGAAAACTGCAGTCATCAGGCCCCTGCTAAAAAAGAGCAGTCTCGATGCTACGGTACTTAACAACTATCGTCCCATCTCAAATCTGCCATTTATGGGGAAAGTCCTTGAGAAAGTTGTCTACCTACAGCTTAACGAGATTTCCTTATACATCAACAACTCATTTGATATGTTTCAGTCCGGCTTTGAGACCCCACTCACAGCACTGAGACTGCTCTCGTTAAGGTTACAAACGATATCCGGGCTGAACACTGACGCAGGCAAAAGTCCTCAATCTGAATCTTGTTTAGATCTAAGTGCTGCCTTTGACACCGTCGACCATGAGATACTCTTACAAGAAAGGGACTAGAGGACTGGGTTGGCGTCACTGGCTCCAGCCCTAAGTTGGTTTGGGTTCTTACCTTGAAAGACAGGAAGTACTTTGTGGAGATTGGAAACGTGGTCTCAGATCATAAGGTACCTGACCGTGTGGAGTCCCACAGGGGTCGATCCTGGGACCTCTTCTGTTCAATCTCTACATGCGCCGTTAGGTCAGTTAATACGCAGGAGAGAAACGAATTCCTATCTTAATTATGCAGACGGACACTCAGAATCTATGTCTCACTGTCTGCAGGAGAACATGGACCAGTGGACCTCACTCCTTCACTGTATCCAACAGATCAGTGAGTGGATGCAAAACAACTTCCTTCAGCTAAACGCAGACAAAACTGAAATGATTGTCTTTGGTCCCCAGAAACAAAGAGAGAGCGTCATCTGTCACCTACAGTCTCTCTCCCTAAAACCTTCAAACAAGGTCAGAAATCTAGGGGTAATACTGGACTCAGACTTAAATTTTAATAGCCACATCAAATCAGTAACATCAGCAGCTTTTTACCATCTAAAAAACATTGCCAGGATCAAAAACATAGTGTCTAAAGCAGACTTGGAGATTCTTATCCATGCATTTGTCTCCAGTAGGTTAGACTACTGCAATGGCCTGCTCACAGGTCTGTCCAAACAGGCTGTAAAACAGCTGCAGTACATTCAAAATGCAGCAGCTCGAGTCCTGACTAGAACCAGGAAGTACGACCACATTAGTCCAGTTCTCAGGTCTCTGCACTGGCTTCCTGTGGCTCAGAGAATAGACTTTAAAACAGCTCTGCTTGTGTACAAGTCTCTCCATAGCCTCGCACCAAAATATATTAGTGACATGTTAGTCCCATATGAACCAGCCCGGACTCTGAGGAGCACAGGGACTGGACTCCTGTTAGTGCCCAGAGTCAGAACTAAACATGGGGAGGCTGCTTTTCAGATTCATGCTGCTAAAATCTGGAACAGTCTTCCTGAAGATGTGAGACAGGCCTCCTCTCTGACAATGTTTAAAACCAGGTTAAAGACAGTTCTGTTTAACTGTGCATACAACTGAGGGATTTTATATTTTTATCTTTCTTTTTAATGTTCTGTGATAATTTATGATTTTAATGCTTTCTTGTTTTGTTCAGCACTTTGAATTGCCTTGTGTATGAATTGTGCTATATAAATAAACTTGCCTTGCCTTGCCTTGCCTTGCTGTGACCCGTCCTGCTCCACCCAGAGGCAACCCAGAGGGTCGTTAAGAAAGCTCGTTAGCGTCTCTACTTTCTGCGGAAACTTAGAGAATTTACCACTAACTCTAAGATTCTGCTTAAATTTTGTTGCTGCACCATTGAGAGTTTACTTGCTGGTTCTATGTCTGTGTGGTTTGGTAACATCACAGACAAAGAAAGGAAACAAGGTGCTCCGCTCTGCTAAGAGGACTGTGGGCTGTGAGCTTCCTGTTCTGGAGGTTCTTTATAAATCCAGACTTTTAAACAGAGCTCTTAGAATGAGCAATGACTTTTCTGGCCACCCTGGGAAAGCCTTGTTCCAGCTTCTTCCTTCTGTCAGAAGATATTGTTCTCTGAGATGCAGGACATCTCGATATGCTAACAGCTTCTTCCCACAAGCTGTCATAAGTTTGAACAGAGCACTTTAATGATCTTGCACTTTGTATTGAAATTGTTTTAGTCGATCGATTTCACAGTGACAATTGTTTTACTGTTTTATTTGTTTGTTTTTTTCTGTACTTTTAATGTTGTTTTATGCCTGTACTTGTGCACACTGGGGACTTTTGATAATGAATTCCAATGTGGTTTTACTGCAAATGGCAAATAAATGAATCTGATCTGATCTGAACTCCACATCTGCTGATGTGACCCATCTTGCTCCACCCACAGACTACTCTACATCTGCTGATGTGACCCATCTTGCTCCACCCACAGACTACTCTACATCTGCTGATGTGACCCATCTTGCTCCACCCACAGACTACTCTACATCTGCTGCTGTGACCCGTCCTGCTCCACCCAGAGGCTACTCCACCTCTGCTGCTGTGACCCGTCTTGCTCCACCCACAGACTACTCTACATCTGCTGCTGTGACCCGTCCTGCTCCACCCAGAGGCTACTCCACCTCTGCTGCTGTGACCCGTCCTGCTCCACCCACAGACTACTCTACATCTGCTGCTGTGACCCGTCCTGCTCCACCCAGAGGCTACTCCACCTCTGCTGCTGTGACCCGTCCTGCTCCATCCACAGACTACTCTACATCTGATGCTGTGACCCGTCCTGCTCCACCCAGAGGCTTGCTGTGACCCGTCCTGCTCCACCCACAGACTACTCTACATCTGATGCTGTGACCCGTCCTGCTCCACCCAGAGGCTACTCCACCTCTGCTGCTGTGACCCGTCCTGCTCCACCCACAGACTACTCTACATCTGATGCTGTGACCCGTCCTGCTCCACCCAGAGGCTACTCCACCTCTGCTGCTGTGACCCGTCCTGCTCCATCCACAGACTACTCTACATCTGATGCTGTGACCCGTCCTGCTCCACCCAGAGGCTACACCACCTCTGCTGCTGTGACCCGTCCTGCTCCACCCACAGACTACTCTACATCTGCTGCTGTGACCCGTCCTGCTCCACCCAGACGCTACTCCACCTATGCTGCTGTGACCCATCCTGCTCCACCCAGAGGCTTCTCTACATCTGCTGCTGTGACCCGTCCTCCTCCGACCTGAATTTCTCCCACAGGGATCAATAAAGTATCTATCTATCTATCTATCTATCTATCTACCTCCTCATGAGTGAAAGCTGAAATCCACCTGAGAGCAGTTGTTAAATTTAGGAGAGAGTTTCAGGAAAAAAAAATGATAGAGGAATGTAATGAAATTAGCTTGACAGATTTTGATTTTGAGAACTGGTTCAACAATTTTGTATGTGATGACTAAAGCAATTAAATGAGGACTATTATAGGGAAAGACTATTCAGCGATTATAAGTATTTTTCATTCTGACACGACAAAAGCAAATGATAATGTTATAACAGCAGAGAAATTAAGTAACTGATACGAATGAGAAACTGCTACGATGATGTGCACAAATGACTGTGGAGGTTGAATTAATAGTTTTGAGAACTTTAAGTCTGATCTGAGAAATACACCAAAACGGCTGAGAAAAACTGCATGTCTGAAAAGGTAAATGTGCTGTCCAGTGTTTTGAGGAGTTTAGTTTAGACATTCTTTTCTAAATCTTTCTCTCTTTCAAATCTGAACCTCAAGGATGCAGAGTAGATTTTATACTAATGACTATATTTTGACTAAATAGAGGAGAAATCATATCTGCTGTTGTAGCTGGTTCAGGTACGTCATGCTTGTGTCCTTGGCGTGGGAGTGTATAAAGGGTCGCCAGAGATGTTTGTCGAGATTCCAAGCTGTGGGCGTCATGCTGACCTGTCATGTTCATAGATGTTACAAAAGTTTTAGAAAATGAAATGCACTGAAATCCATATGAACAGAGCAGGCTGAACAGTTGTGATCACTGTATGTGACGTTAGCTGAGGTGAAGAAGTTTTTACTATTCCCACCCCTGCAGTGTCAGAGATGTATGATGTGTGTAAACAGCTCATGGCACTGTGGCATGTGGTTGTTCCTAAATATGATATAGTTTTGATTACAGGCACATAAAAACAACTCATAAATAATAAAATATGCAATTAGTGACTTACCACTTCAGATCTCCCATCACCCTTCACTCAGTGCAGGAACTGGACAAATATGGAAATGGGAAGTCATTACTAAAACATGACATATATGAGCTTTTGTGAAACGCACAGGTCTAACTGGTGCTGTGCACTTTGTTGTGGATGTCACATCCTGTAAAGTGGGCCCTTTGTCATATAGCATCCCCCAACATTTTACTGTTGTGATCTAAATGTTTTTTTCCCCACTAAAATATTAATGGTTTACTGTTTGCAAGTGTAATCGGTTTTGAAAATCATAGGTTTGTAGTTGGGAATTAATTGTTCCTGCTGTTACTGAAGAAATGATAGGGTCTGCAAACTCCAAACAAATCTTCTTTTTTTCTGTTACAATGCAACAAAGCCAACGTGAGTCCAAGCAATTGTCACAGCTGTTGAGAAAGCATCCATCAACAGATAAAGTGGCGTGTTACTCATTGTGTCAATATTGCTATGAAGATGTGTCTGTCCAAATAACTATTGTCATGACAACTCAACTCACTGTCAAAGCCTGTCATGAGATGTTTGGTGGCACACGTACAACATTTACATAAACCACAAAGATAAGTGGCTCAAGTTCTCAGATGCTTTTACATTTGAAAGTAGACAATGTTGTGTGTAGAAATCTTTAATAATATCCTCGCCACGTTCTGTGCGAATGCATGAGGGTAGAATATCAACTACTGGGCTGCGTAGAGACCTATTAGAAGCAGCTGCTATCTGTGTAATTACTTCCTAAAATGATTAGTGCGTTGACCATGTTGACCAGTGTGACAAGACAAAATATAGTGACTGCAGCTGATATAACCAACAAGGTCAGATTCACATAAAAAAACCACAACAAACCAGTCCATTTACTTGAATACGTTGCACCCAATTTAAAGTCAAAGTAAAAGAGCTGGAGTTGTACGTATGAGGTGACGTCATGAAGAGTTTTTTGTTTTTTGGCGGCGGGATGGTGGGACATCTCGGTCATCACGGAGCGCACTACGTATGAGCTCAACGCGATAAAAGCCGCGCGCAGGTATCTGGCTGTGCAGAGCCTTTATCCAGGAGACAAGAAGGAACACAGGCTTCTCTCCGCGGCTGGATCTCCCAAGGACCGGAGTTTGGAAACAGGTCAACTATTGCCATTTTTATTTCATTTGAGACGACTCTTTATGATCATTTTGAAGAAAAAAATATTACCCCACATTTTAGAATCTATACAATATTATGGAAAGCTGTATTTTATTTTTATCTGTTGTTTTTTTCCCTCCCTCACACAGGTTGGTGCTAAAATGAGGAGTTTGCTTTTAGTCGCGCTTTTTCTCGTCTTAAAACTTCGCCACAGCCAGAGCAGATGTGAGGAACCAGACGCGCGCATAGCAAGTTCAGAAGTGGGTCTTTTTCTCTTTCATAGTGTCATGTACTTATCATATTTTTATTTTCATACTTGAGAGTAATTATGTGCGTCATTACAGCAGACCGTTGACCGCCTGGAGAATCTTAAAAGAAACATTCTGAAGAGATACAGCGATTTGGATTATGACAGCTTCGTGGGTCTGATGGGCAAAAGAAACGCGGGTAAGTGTGCTTTATTATTTATGTAACATATTAGACTTTCCTCCAATATTTATTTGCACTAACACCAGAGTTGTAATTGTTATTTTGTCTGCAGAACCAAGCCCAGTCCTGCCTCCAAATAAGAGTAAGATTGGATTAAAAAACCTCAATCAATCACGGTTCAAGTCTTTATCTAAATAACTTTTTTTGTCAGGGGAAATGCATGATATATTTGTTGGTCTAATGGGGAGGAGAAACACAGAGCCTGGTAAGTACCGTTTTTCACCAATATTGACCAGGCGCACACATGTATAATGTTGATGGTACTTTTCCTGCGCTGCTTCTTCTGCACAATATATCTTTATGAGTCCGTCATGTGCTCTCACAGATAATGGCCCCTGGAGGAGAGAGAGCCCGGAGAGGAGAGGGATCCTTCTCAACAAATGTAGACTGAGGTGTGTGCGTTTGATTATATATTACGATTTCTTTGTGGGTAATGTACAAGACGAGACGTTAAAACATAACTCTTTTTGTTGCAGGTTTCTTCAGGGTCTGTAGCATTATCCAACTCTTTTATTATCGGACTGTAGGACCGTGAACACCTGAACACCATGAAACCCTTCTGTAGGAAGTCACTCGGTTTGTAAATGTTTTACCTAAAGAAAACTATGTTTAAGATTGCCACTACTTTTCTCAAAAATAAAATATTTTTTTTGTACATGTACAAGTTAATGATACTGGTCATGTTTCTGAAACATTGTGTTGCAATCAAACGTGGCAAAAAGTTTACTGAATCTGAATTTAGCTCAAGATGAAATTGTTGAAACTATTCTCAAAATGCACTAATGACTTTTTAAGATCAGTCTGATTAAATGTATTTCAATAAAACATGTTTAATAAAATAAAATATGAGAACCCCTATGCTTCAATTATCTTTTATTTTTATGAATCGATAACCAATAAAGTGATTGAAACTTTCCTTTAGACCTGCCCTGATTCACCCTCGGAGCTTCTTGATTGTATGAAATTAATCCAAATCCTGGTCATTAGTCTAAATATTAACCTCCAGCAAATCATATTGATGTTTGTGCCAAGAAGAGGGACCACATTCAACACTTTATTATTGAGAAAAACGTAACAATAAAGAAACATGGCCAGTGGTTAGCGCTCCTGCTTCACAGCAAGAAGGTCCTAGGTTCAATTCAACATTCAGACAGGTCCTTTCTATATGTAGTTTGCATGTTCTCCCCGTGTCAGGGTTGAATTGTGCTCTGGGTTCTGCTACCACTAAAACACAATGAAGAGGACGATAGACTACAATCATGGTTGAGGCCCAATGTGTTGCAGTTTGGACACATTACAACTGGATTGCCTGAAATTGCCAGGAGCAAAGCCGACATACTGTTTTGGGGGCTGTGTCTCTATTGTTAGGAGATAATGTTACTTTTGTGATTCATAAGATTCATATATAATTCCATTAGTCTCACGTGGACCAGCGCATGTGTGCTCGCATCATGTTGATAAACACAGACTGTGTGAGATGAATCTGCATCAAGAAAGATAAAGTAAAAAGATTTGGTGGAATTCCGACATAAAACTTGAAGGGACAGGCACCGGATCATCAAATATGCTGTCATCTACATAATCACATTTGACATTTACTGTTATAGGTGAGTTATTTTTGCAGAAATTGTTGCTATTAGCTCAATAGCACATTAGAGGTGATTCTTCTGAATTATTTATATTACATTCTACAAAGTCAGAGTCATTTCAGACAGTGAGAAAAAGAATACATAAATCAGATGTTTACAGTGTATGTACACTCTATTCTACTCTACTGTAAATTATTCTAAAATTGCGGGATTGGAGCAGATTTAGACTCAACCAACATTTCGGGTAGAATTGCTTTCAAAATGGAACAATCAGACTAAACAATTGTTGTAAGTTAAAATCATAGAGTTTATATAATCAAAATAGGTCAAATTCTTCCACAAATATGCAGCTTCAACAAAATATGACATCATGGCCTCTCGTGCCACTTTCTGCTTCCAACAATCCACAAGTAAACGTCACAATTGTACAAACTTTGAAAAAGGTCTATAAGAAACTAGCATTTAATAACAAACTTTCTCAAAAAAGTCAAAATAGCATTAAAATACTGCATGTTGTCTGTTGTGAGTGTTTTAAAATTCAGTCGCAGCTTTTCATAATCAATGCTGCTTTTCTTGTGTAGCCGTTGTATTCTTATATTTTGGACGAGTTTCTTCTTTGGTGGTTTGGTTCACTCTGGTGGAGTCTGGCCTGGTGGGCTCTGTGCTGCTGTGAGCAGGTGTGCCAGTTGGTGTGCGGGACAGTGTGGTGGTGGTGGGGGGCAGAAGGCTTTGGTGAGGGGTGGGCTGGTACCGCGGCCTGTATCCATATGCCCTCAGGTGGTAAGAGTAGTACTCCAGCGTGTACATGAGCGCCGCCTCCACGTAATGAAAGGACACGGCCAAATCAGAGCAGCACTGAGGACCCTGCGAATGCCACACATTCAAAGTCCAATGTTAGAAATATATTACTTAATTTTTCAAACACAGCCATAACGTTGCTCATCTGTCAGTCAACCACTGGTGTATGCAAGTACAGTCAGCTAGAGTTTTCTTGTCTTGTTGAAAAGTTTGCAGCAATGTTTTTTTTTTACAAACATGTGTGTGGTTTTATGGAGCTAACACCAGAGCCTCAGTCAGTGGGGACTCTGTGGTTTCTAGGTTCCTAAGTCCAGTTAGTGGAACCCTCTTCCCACTGACTTCAAACTGCGACCTGATTGAAACATCTGTAAGGCAGATATCATCATCTTATGAGACTCATATACTTTCATATCATGCCATGTTCATGTCACCGTCTGACATAAACAGTTCCAGCTCATTTTAATTGCAAAATACAGTTAAATTGGCAGCAGCATCAGCAACAAATTGAGCAATTTTCCCCTTTGTCAATCGCACCTTGTCTCTGCTGCAATCATGTACTCAAACCGTCCTTGGATCTATTTTAATGCACTGCTTTCTTTTCAAAGATCTGTTGCAGATTCCCTAATGGGGAATCAATTATTAATTTGTTTAGGGCTTAAGTATGATCCTCAGACGTGCAAAGAGAATTATGTGGCTGTTATTTTAATGCATGTAATGTGTGGATACTCCCAGATATTTAAAATTGATCCCAGCTCCGAACAGATTACATGTATTACAAATATCCAAATTAAGCCAATTTCAAACCTGATCATCCTAACTGGTAACTTAAACCTACTGTATTATAACAAATGTTTGACTCATTTGTCATATTAGTCGTATCAATGTACTTAATTTGTCCATTATTATGAGACTAAACAAAGTGCACATATCTATTAACACTTCACTTGCCTCCACGATTGGATAGTAGCAGTAGCTCCAGTACCAGAAGCTCTTGGAGAATTTCCCTGTTAGATGGTGCTCTGGTACAAAGGGATGAAAAGTCTCTCTCTGCAGAGTGTCCCTAGAATCCCCCGCCATGACCCCCATCTTCTCCAAGCACTGTCCCAGAGCCAGGTCTTCCACTGGGGTGGTGTGCGTGCAAGCTCCAGTGCGAAAGCCTTCCACAAACCGGCGCAGGGCTTCTTTACTCAGCACATACCCTGCCCCCCCGCTCATATAGCCCTGCTTAGTGTACGGCTTGAAGCGTTTGCCAAAATATACAGGCTCTTTCGGTGTGTGATTGGACAAAAGCCAGCGCAGGTTGTCTACGTTCACAAAAGTGTCATCGTCGGCTTTGAGGAACCAGTCTGCGTCTTTGAAATGATGCTTGTGGACATAGTGAAAAGCACGGATGGTTTTCCAGTAAAGTTGGTCGCGGCCCTCTTTGGTGCCCAGGCCCACCGTAGGGAAGTCACTGTCGTCTTGAGAGCTCATGAACACCACCAGGTTACAGTGACGGCTCCAGGTGGCTCTGACGTGCCGCGCTCGGCTCTCCAGGTTGGACGGCCCGGTCATCACCCAGCACAGGATGCGTACTTTCTGGAATAAGGCGTCTGCAACCTGACTGTCTTCCTCTAAAGAGACACAAGGGGCAAAAACCTTTGTACAGTTAGAAATGAAGGGTTCCTATTTTGTTCCACCAAAATTATATATTTGAAGTAGTTTTACATCAGTCAAGTTTGTAGCTAAAAGTTTAAGAAAATGCTTAGAAATATACACGACTTTTATATAGAACACCTCCACTCTTGTGTAATCTTATCAAAATGGTTATCTGATATTTAAGACATTAATTAAACAGGATAAAGTGTGTTGTCTCATAGTTCTACTTGGGGAAAATAGGCAACAGTTTCAGTAAAAAATCCTTTTAGTGTGGTCTGGGGCCCCCTGGGGGGGCCTCAGAGGCAGCGCAAGGGCCCCCTCACACCACCCGTATTTAAAATTAAAAAATTAAATGTATAGAAATGTATTTTATAATCTGACCCATCATAAGGGTTTTAAAATTCTAGTTCTGCTGGTAAATTGGTAATGGTTGCTCCCATTAAATGCCCCCATTTATTGATCATTTATGGATATTTAGAACCTCCAATATTCATAAAAGATTATCATAAAGATTGATACTTTTTCAAGCATCAATTTTGCAGATGACACTGTTGATGCTTTTACTTCAAATATACTTAACCAGCACAGGGTAAAAACACAGTAATTACAACAAGATGACTGAAATTATTCCCCTTGGCTCCTGTTGTTCTTTGTTATTCCAAGACCAGTAGATGGATAAAACTATTTAAAAATCAGACCTTAAAAGTACAAGTTTGAATGCTTTTTATAGGCTACCACATGTTGAGACACCATTGCACCTGTATGATGAGGATGTATAAGGTTGACAAGTGCAGATCCATGTTTCTTCCAGTTGGTCAGTTTATCCTTGAAGACTATCCCTTTCTCCTGGGCCTCAGTCAGCACAGAGTAGCTCCTCTCAAACCAGACCTGATGCAGACACAGATACACGCTGCACACACCAACCAGGAAGCCCAGTGTGAACAACCATCTTGAGCTGGAGCCCTTCATCTTTGTTCAGCTGCTCATGTCTGCAAAACAGCACAGGATACATAGGAGGCTACTTATAATGCATTAGTGTCATAAATAATGCATTGATGTGTTATTTAACCTGGTATTTAGAGTTCACCCCGACAAAGCCGAAAAAGGTCGAACAATGGCAGAATTCTACGTTTGATCTTGCATCTTTAGCAGGCAGTCTATTTACTCCCGGCCGTATTTATTTGCAGTAGCACCCTACGCACTACAGGTTTCGCACAAATAACCATGAATACTGCCATATAATGCTATATACCTCCCTGTGGTGTTTCATTAAAGGTGCGATGTTAAACTCCCAGTCGCCAATGAGACAGGCGCACCGCCTCATGCCTTCTCTTTGTCCTCACATGGTGAAAGAAAAGCCCTCTTTGTTGTCGCTAAATAACATGAATACAACTGGGATTCTACGGAAGATTGAAATTCTTCAGCATCGCAAGCTAAGCTTTAAAAGCTGGCTTCTGATTGGTTAAAGACGCGTTACGTATGACGCTGAGGAAGCTGCTTAAATGTCTTGGGCATGGGCCATGGATGTAGGGATTATAATTCATCTATGATCTAGGGTCATGGGCATGGCAATGGGGCTAATGGACAGGACACATACAAGACAGGGAGACAGTGTTCTAATATTAATAGTCCATGGTGACACTATTTATTATGGTGTCATGGCCATGTCTCCTCTAATATTTAAAATACCCTGAATTACTCTAAGTGAGAGTAAACAAAACAAAAAAACTCTCTCCTTCCCCTGGCAGTTGTGCAAATAAGCAGTATATTTTTGTGGGAAGTTTGTTTTTGAATGTATGTTTTCCGAATGAACATTTAAACAACTGTGATGTCCAATCATGACCTGTAGGTGTCACTCTCAGCTTCTAATTTCAGATTTCAGAGGCTGTGTGACAGTAATGTGATGCTCAATCTGATGTGATCATCATATTGGTGTACACAGTATAAATGAATAAACTAAACTAAACTCAATCCAACCCACCTGTTAGATGTGTTAATCTATTCCCAAAGTAATCAACAGACAGTAATCATTCTTTATTCATGCAAAAATATAAAATGTATATTTTTGTAGGAATCTCACTTTACTTTACATTAGTCTGCAGAGATAGATTAAATATTGAACATATCCCATTCTGAACATATGATGATTCATTTTAACTAGCGTTCTCATTTATTTTGTCTTGCGATTATAAAAATAAATAGTAAAAATATAACTGGATCGACTGGAATATTAAAACATGTGTGTCTAGAAGAAAGTCAGTCTTAAAACTAATCAAATCAACAAAGTGTAACTGTTTCAGTTCTCTGACTAGAAAAACAAACAATATTGTTCAGAGATGTTCCTGCATACTCTGATCTTGTCTATGCAAAGTTTGAGCAGTCGCTGCGGGCCGACTGGTTTGGCCAGTACCAGTCGGCCCGCAGCGAGGCAGAAAGCCCTTATCCACTCATCAGAAGCCAGTCTCTCACGGTTCAAAATCCAGAGGTGAGCAACATTAAGTTTAGTTGTTTTACTTGTGTACATTTACAACACTAGCCTTTTCAATGAGGAAAAAACCCAAAATTAACTTCAAAAGGGTAGTTTTTGGTTAAACTTGTAAATTTCTCCTTTGTAAGATCAGTAAAGTCGATTTTATATAATCTTAAGCAATATGCATTGTGGGATCTCTGCAGAGAGATCACAGTGTACTAAAACAGTTTGAGTCAGTAGGTATCATCAGCTCACAAGAGGAACTGTAACGATTAACAGGGATTTGTCATTCTGTTGAACTTTGACTGTTGTCTTGGTGGACCAGTCCGATAACCTGAATCCCTTCAGGGATCCTTAAGTTACTTTCCATCTCATTTCCATCAGGGATGCGTTATCTTCGACAAAAGACTTGTGGGGTGATCGTGTGTATTGGAATCGGATTGGCAGTGTATGTGTGGAGTCACCTCAGACTCTCAGAAAGATCTTTACCCAGAGAAGAAGCACGTCTCAAGTGGATGAGCCGGATGAACAAAGATATGGTTGGAAATGAAAGTGGCTTCCGAGTTAAGGAGCATATTGCATGGTGTGGTATAGGCTGCCTTCATATTTGCAAATGTATTAAAATAAGTGCCTATATGAAAATGCACTTTTTTCTTTTTGCAGCAACGTGGCACTAAATGTGTGTTCATGTACAGCTGACGAAAAGAGGGGTTGGGTCCCATTCTCAAACTTGATTTTTCCCAGAGTTTGGGCTCATAATCTGCATACTGCTTTTTTGGAAACCCATCCTGATCCAGAGGCAATACAGTTTCACAGAGCACAAGAGTACAGCAGGTTTCTGAAGAGGTGATATAGTTTATCTTTTTTTCATAGCAATAATATGATGATTTTTCTATTAACAATATTTGCTGCATTTATCAAATATCTTTCGTGATCAATGAACCTCAATATATACCTCAAAATCATAATAATAATAAGGGCTAAAGATTTAGAATAATAACAAGAAAAAACTATAAAACTATTTTAATAATAATCGGTGTGGACCATAATAATCATCTGCAGTGGATGACAGAATAAGAGAGAAAACTGTGATAACAGTTGGACAGATCCAGAACCGCCAGGAGGGAGATGTTCTGGCCCGGACTGGCCATCGGGAGCATCGGGAGATCTCCCGGTGGCCTGCGTGTCAAAGTGGCCTGGGCCTGCCCTATCATCACGGTCTTTTTTTAAAAAAATGTCTTTATTTTTTTTTCTTTTAATTTAATTTCATCCTCACGGTCTTTGCAAACTCCTACCCTGCCTGGTGGCCTGGTCCAATGAGCAAGGCCCAGGCCAAAGCTTTACTGTCATTGGGCCAGAGCAAAATTAAACAAATGTGACGTCACACGTCGGCTACACAGCCAGGCCAGCCTAGCAGTGCACCCAGTGTAGCTTCCCCGGTTGAAATGAGTGGTCTCTCCAACTGATGGTTAATACACGTTTTTATTTTTCCTTTTATATGAGCTGTAACGATGTGATTTTACCTTACTACTTTTTTTAACAATAATTGATTAGCTTGTTATAGTTATAAGTGTATAAGTGTGTGTGTGTGTCTTTATTCTCACTAAACTCCATAAACGTTACGTTGCTAAGCAACGTACAACAATCCTTAAAGTCCGAGATTATATAACAGTCAATATAAAAAAAAAAAAGAAAACAAAAGTTTTGACAGTCAATCTTAAAACTATTAAAAGAACATCAAAATACAATGACAAAAACACACATTTAGAACCTTGTTCCCTATCAAGGGTGGTTATTCTCATTTCATTGACATTTTAAAATGCATTGAGGATTTAAAAATAAATATAGCTCATCACCAAATAAAAAAATAAAAACACATAACCTAAAATAGAATAGAATAGAAAAAAAAGAGAAGAAAGTCATGATAAAAATGTGTGTGTGTGAGAGTGAGTGTGTGTGGGTTCCATTTTGTGTATGATACTGCTTGTTTTGATTTTAATATTAGTCATTCATTTGTCCCACCATTGGGGGAAATTCCAGTGTTACAATAGCAGTAAAAGGTAAAATGATTGGCTCACTCAGTTTATTGGAGTAAAAGGAGTAAATGACTGTTTAATTCTCAACCCAGTAAGAGTGGGAGGGGGGTGGGGTGGAGGGGGGGGGGGGGCACGGGGGGTGGCTGAATGGATGAAAAGCTACGGCCTGAAATGTTGTCCCAATCAGGCCCTGGAGAGTGTTTCACGTATCGCAGAATTCTTCACCACAAGTGGCAAACATTGGTGTAACACAGAAAGACCATATTAGAATGGATATGTATACTGTATGGTTGAAGCTGGTCAAAGTCGGATCGTGGCTGCGCCAAACTATGGATGTTTATTTAAGTTTCTTCAAGTTACAGTGGTTTAATTTGTTTCTTTCTCTTTCAGACTGAAATGGAGTCAGTACACTGTTGTCATTGTCACGTCACACATCGAAAGGACATACTGTGTCACACAGAGGACATCATAGGACAAATGCATGGAGTCATCTGCAGAGTCCTTGTACAGTCTGCTATTAGAGGCCATTTTGCCTATCTAATTACTAACAATTTATCCATTGGCAAATTTATTTAGTTCATTATTATTATTGTCAGTTTTAATTTGAATGCCAGATATCCTTAATAAGTTTTTACGTGTTTCTCATACTCGTGGGCTGGCAAATTATCTCCAAGGCAGAAGTCTACATCATCGCACTAAAGCAGGGTAACTCTGCATTTGTGTGATTTGGATACACATGGTTCTTACACTTGCGGCCCCATGGGGCTCATCGTGGCAGAAGCCAACAGTTCCTCATGCCAGTACCCCACCCAGGGAGTATGTGGTGCAACCATCTACCTCAACCCTCATCCTCCCTGGTAACACCTTGGTTTTTGCAACTATATACGACTCAAACAATAACGAGGTGCAATTTTCATTTCACTCAATGTTCTCTGCAGAGGCTGGCTTTGAAAACCAAAACATTGTCTAATGTACATTTGTAAGTACAGCGTTTCTGCCTATAATGATACACCCTCAAATATGAAAAAGGGGGGGTCCTAAAATAATTCATAGGTCTATCACGTTATACAAGTATATAGTAACCTTTCATCTCGATTTGTTCTGTCTTGTATACTGTGAATCATACCACCATAAATGTTTTGTTAAAAGGTCTCTTTGACAGCCAACATATGGGGAACGTGTGTTGTTGCAGCCACATGGTAGAGGAAGTCTCTTTGAAAGGTAATGGTGAGAATCGCATGTTCCTGACCAGTCCAAGTCTGTCAGCTCTGAACAAGCAGCTGAGTGTGGTCACGTACACCAACACTGTGTTCCACCCCAGGACGGCCGACAATGGTACATCACACTCATATAGGACTAAAAACTAAACTCATCGTTGTGAAAATGTCTACCGTTGATCCTATGTTTCATAAAATCAGTTCCATGTACTTTTACTCTACATGCGATGCAGTGCGAAACGGACAGCTGCATTTCAGGCGTTCTCCTGGTTCCGATCTAGTGTTCGTCTTGACTTTTAGTCTATGTATATAAATATAGTCTAACAATTAAAGAACACACACCACCCTACACCAAGTGAGCGGAAACAATAAATAAAGCACACAACCCCCAAAATGTGTTGGTTGTAAAAGCAGAACTATCTACTTCCTCTTCTTATCATTTGATTATCAGACTTGTTTTTGTGTAATATTTGTCTGTCTGTGTAGTGGAGTTTGGAACTGATGGTCATCGAGCTTTTTTCACAATAAAAATTCAGCACAAAACTACTCCAAAGCTTTACAACTCTGGACACCACGGAGGTCTGACACCTTTCTTATTCATTGCTTCATTTGATTTAAATTGATCATTTTTATTTTGTTCTCATCTAGAGTACAACATCAGTGCTTTGGTCACTATAGCGACAAAGACTTTTCTACGCTATGAAAAACTCAAAGATCTAATTGAAAGTGTTCGAAAGTTCTACCCCACAGTTACCATAGTGATCGCTGATGATAACCAGCACCCTCAACCAGTGATTGGGCCGCACATCGAGCAGTATATCATGCCATTTGGAAAGGTAAACAGTCAGAAATACATGTTACACTTTAGACACATACATAGTACATAGTACAACATAGTAACTCATGGCGTCTTTTTAGGGCTGGTTTGCCGGCAGAAACCTAGCTGTGTCTCAGGTAACCACCAAGTATGTGTTATGGGTGGATGATGACTTCTACTTTACCTCAAATACCAAACTGGACAAGATGGTGGATATTTTAGAGAAAACAACACTGGATCTGGTGAGTAATTTGAACATTTATGACAGGCCCAACATCTTTGATTTCCACCCAAAACCACAATGATGTTTACTGTCACTTATCAACAAAGTGCAAGAGTAAAAGTACTGCATAGTATTACTGATAGTGAGTGATACTGAGTATTGACTATTATTCTGGGTATACTTGATACTGCCCTGTGACCGATCTTATGCACACACTAAAGGTAATATAAGTTGGCTATAGATACTAAGTAAGAACCAGACAGCAAACAGTATTGTTTTTTGTAAATATATCATGATTCTGAGGTACTATAGTGGTATCGGTACTCTGCTACCAATATTGAAATGTTTTGATGATGGAATGCATAGTAATGAGGACGCATGTTAAATGCATTTTTCTATCTAAAGTATTTGCTTGATTTTATCGTTGATTACTCAATATATAACACGTGTTGGAGGCAGGACGACTGTGCTTAGAACAGTGCCCCTCCTCATGTTGGTTTTGTAGAGCAATAAAAAACTACTGCCATATGTATTTACGTGTATAATTCATATTGTTTTCATATTGCCCAACCTTTTTAACTTATGACTTTGATATTGACAGATGAGTTTCACAAAATAATTTTTCTCATGTGAAGCAATTCCTTTTGTGTTTGTGTCTGTAATGATTGAGTATGTGGTCCATTAAACATAATGTTTCTCAGGTTGGTGGGGCTGTGCGGGAGGCAACTGGTTACACTGCAACTTACCGCCACACCATTTCAGTGGAGGAGGGAGGAGAGGAGGGGGACTGCCTACACATCCGGAACGGCCATCACCACGAGCTCCCAGGCTTTCCTCACTGCGTGGTGGCTGATGCTGTCATCAACTTCTTTATGGGAAGGACAGACAAGGTGCGAGAGGTGGGATTTAACCCCCGCCTGGCCCGACATGCTCATCTGGGTGGGTGTTAAGATTAGAAACACATTGTAGTTGAAGTAAAGAAGATAAATATGTTTCTGTTTATTCCAGAGTTCTTCATTGATGGTCTTGGCTCTTTGCACATTGGTTCCTGCAGTGATGTGATTGTGAACCATGCCTCAAAGATCAAACTGCCCTGGGGAGAAACAGACTCGGAAAAAGAATATGCTAAATTTCGTTTTTCCTCTACCATTGATGATACTAAACTGCACAATGAAGTCTTCTATTTCACCAACAGGTTCAAGTGCATGACAAGCCACTGACTCTTCTTTTAAATGTTATTCTATTTTGTGTCATCCATATTTATCTATATATTTATGTAGAATCTGCTGAATACAAACACAAATAAGAACTTGAAAAAGTGTTGCCCAATAGCATCGTTCCATTCATTGAGTCATCATCTTTGCACCAAATACAGATGTCAATAACTGAAGGACTTTTGCTACACCTCACCAAGTTTATTATTAAAAGACATGGACAGGGGCTGTGGAGCCAACGGCATCCCATTTAGATCAGTTGTGTGTGAAAGCTCACGTGGATGTGTTGATGAATAGAATAGAATATAATAGAATAGACGTTTTGTTCTAGGTTTTGTATGAGCAAAGTATGGCAGTCAAAATCCACTTGTAGATTTGGAGCTTTAGTCCTCTATCTCAGATCCAAGTGTAATGACAAAAATTTATAAGTTTGCCTGTGGGTATGGGTCATCATGGATCTATGGCGGGTCTCATCCCCATTACCCAAAACATGTAACCTGACTGTCGTTCGCACCTTCACCACTAGAAGGAAGCACTAGCCCAAACTCAGAAAGTTGCCAAAGTGGTTGGAATCATGTGTTTACTAGTTGTATGCTGCGGGGGTTTACTTAACCTGTAAGAAACACGCATAATATTAGGTTTGTATGACCCCAAACAAGATAATTAACGCTCTCAATATATCAACAACATACCATGTAGGCCTATGGATTCCAAAGGAGTTATTTTCTTTGTGACAAAAAAGCCATGATGACGTTGATTGTTGTGTGGCCTAGTAAGCAGCTGGCCCAAGCCTCATGTATCGTGTTCTAATTGAAGAGGAGCACTTCCTCCCAATTAGTGAAATCCTCCTTGAGCTTTAAAGCGAAAGCCCAAAGGGCAGTGTGTCTAGAGACCCCTTTGAAATATGGACTGGATATAAAATATTCGCTTGCCCATCCAACATCAAGCAAAGAAAATAATGAGTTTTTTCCTGGTTTTTTGTCCTAGTTTTGAACTCAATCGTTTAGCCGCATTGGGTCAAGGTAAGAGAAGTGTGAGGACAACGCAGGTTTGGACAGCAGGGGGCAGCACAGCCGCACACACCTGCTCATCAGGCCCAAAACCTGCGCTTTTCAGTTTATTTCATACATACTTGAAATTACAAACAAATCCTCTTGTGCGTAGTAGTACAGCAGACATGACTTAGTTTTGTTCAGCGAGTGTGAGCAGAGGCACAAGCTCTATCTCATCTTCCCCACTCACATCAGCCAAATGCTTCACATTCTTTAATAGCCAAGGGTATATAAATGCAACATATTTACACAATTAAAGACATTGTTGAACTTTATGTAATACACACATCAAATATTAAACAGAAATAAATACAGAAGCATTCAAACATCATCAGAGTTAAATATATTTTAACATGTACTTTCTGCTCAAAATGATAATGTTATATGTAAAAAGTCTCTTGAACTTATGTGAACATGTGAGGATTAGAAACACGATGGTCTTTCTTCATACCCAAACCGTGGAGGTGTTTTCTTGTGGTTTCTCCTGGTAGAAAATAAGGTGTCACAATAGATACTATTTATAATACTTCAATAATGATCGTCGATGCTTTTCTTACCCTCTGCTGTTGAATGTACATTACTGCATCATGTACTGTAACAAAAATATGTTGTGCATTGATATAGTTCATTAGACCGCTTGAAGTTAGAATCCTTAAGACATTTTCTGTAAAAAACAGAAAAAAACAAAGTAAAAACACAACAGCACTCAGTAAATGTGAATAAACATGTATCATTTATCCTGCAGAACTTACCATTGCAGTTGGATAAATACACACTAACTCCAATCTTCTGGCATTCGGTGCACATCTGTCAAGGATACAATGTGTTAATACAAACAATATATCAATTTAAAGAAGGTGTTTATGAAGTTTAAACACCTGTATGAAGAGTCTTGCTCCAGCTACGTCCACAAATAGGACACTACTGCAGTCGATCAGCACCGTCTGCACCTCGCTCTCAGGGACCTCTGCACAAACATGTCATGATTGTAGAAACGGAGCTCTGATGTCGTCTCATTTTCAGGTCATTTTCAGGTAGTATTCACAGGTGTTAATATATTGTCCATTTATTTATGTCATTCAACTTAAATGTGAAACCAATTTGTGATATAGATGTTACATGATGATTATGGATTACGTTTTCAAAAGATTCACATTTTCACATGTTTTATTTGTGGGTTTTACAAGCTGTCAGCCAATCATCAACAAAGAAATAACAAATATATATCACAAAATTATGATATAAGAACTAAAGGCTTGACGTATAATGAGTCTGCAACAGCAACAGAAATACATTTTGAAAAAGATGAGAGGAGAGGTTTGTGTGAAGCCTGGTTGCTGTATAGAAAGTGTCCTGGATCAGGAGTTCATGTAGCAATTCTGCGACTGTGGCGCCACAAGAGTTAAACAAAGTGAATAAAATAAGTCCCTTAATGATCCACTGGGTCCATACTGTAAATACTGTAAGTATGTTTAGTTTTTGGCTTCTTTCCACAAACCAGACTCAAGAAAGGCCTCCTGCATTAATTATGATATTAACATGTTTGAGTGCTTCTACACTGATAGTGGATCATTGAAGACATGTGTTTGTACATACAGTGCCTTGCGAAAGTATTCGGCCCCCTTGAACCTTTCAACATTTCGCCACATTTCAGGCTTCAAACATAAAGATATAAAAATTAAAAAATGTTGTCATGAATCAACAACAAGTGGGACACAATCGTGAAGTGGAACGAAATTTATTGGATAATTTAAACTTTTTTAACAAATAAAAAACTGAAAAGTGGGGCGTGCAATATTATTCGGCCCCTTGCGCTAATACTTTGTAGCGCCACCTTTTGCTGCAATTACAGCTGCAAGGCGCTTAGGGTATGTCTCTATCAGTTTTGCACATCGAGAAACTGGAATTCTTTCCCATTCTTCCTTGCAAAACAGCTGGAGCTCAGTGAGGTTGGATGGAGAGCGTTTGTGAACAGCAGTCTGCAGCTCTTTTCACAGATTCTCGATTGGATTCAGGTCTGGACTTTGACTTGGCCATTCTAACACCTGGATACGTCTATTTGTGAACCATTCCATTGTAGATTTGGCTTTATGTTTTGGATCATTGTCCTGTTGGAAGATAAATCTCCGTCCCAGTCTCAGGTCTTTTGCAGACTCCAACAGGTTTTCTTCCAGAATGGTCCTGTATTTGGCTCCATCCATCTTCCCATCAATTTTAGCCATCTTCCCTGTCCCTGCTGAAGAAAAGCAGGCCCAAAGCATGATGCTGCCACCACCATGTTTGACAGTGGGGATGGTGTGTTCAGGGTGATGAGCTGTGTTGCTTTTACGCCAAACATATCGTTTTGCATTGTGGCCAAAAAGTTCGATTTTGGTTTCATCTGACCAGAGCACCTTTTTCCACATGTTTGGTGTGTCTCCCAGGTGGCTTGTGGCAAACTTTAAACAAGACTTTTATGGATATCTTTGAGAAATGGCTTTCTTCTTGCCACTCTTCCATAAAGGCCAGATTTGTGCAGTGCACGACTGATTGTTGTCCTATGGACAGACTCTCCCACCTCAGCTGTAGTTATCTGCAGTTCATCCAGAGTGATCATGGGCCTCTTGGCTGCATCTCTGATCAGTCTTCTCCTTGTTTGAGATGAAAGTTTGGAGGGACGGCCGGGTCTTGGTAGATTTGCAGTGGTCTGATACTCCTTCCATTTCAATATAATTGCTTGCACAGTGCTCCTTGAGATGTTTAAAGCTTGGGAAATCTTTTTGTATCCAAATCCGGCTTTAAACTTCTCCACAACAGTATCTCGGACCTGCCTGGTGTGTTCCTTTGTCTTCATGGTTCTCTCTGCGCTTTAAACAGAACCCTGAGACTATCAAAGAGCAGGTGCATTTATACGGAGACTTGATTACACACAGGTGCATTCTATTTATCATCATCAGTCATTTAGGACAACATTGGATCATTCAAAGATCCTCACTGAACTTCTGGACTGAGTTTGCTGCACTGAAAGTAAAGGGGCCAAATAATATTGCACGCCCCACTTTTCAGTTTTTTATTTGTTAAAAAAGTTTAAATTATCCAATACATTTCGTTCCACTTCACGATTGTGTCCCACTTGTTGTTTATTCATGACAAAAAATTAAAATTTTATATCTTTATGTTTGAAGCCTGAAATGTGGCAAAATGTTGAAAGGTTCAAGGGGGCCGAATACTTTCGCAAGGCACTGTATATAAATATTGTTCTTTTCTGTTATGTTAACATGTAAGCCATTGTGCAGCTTTATTTTCAGGACGAGGAAAGCAAATGTATACGTGTGTTTTTGATTATAGGGTTAGGGTTAACTAAACGCAATGTATCACAAACAAAAAGTTGGCATTAACTTGCAAAAGGTGAAGACATTTAAAAAAGATCAAATACACTCACCTGGTCTGAAAATCTCATTATTCGGGGAAAATAAATGGTTTGTGATGCCTCTTTCCTAAGATGAGTAGGAGCAGAGTATTAGAGTATTAGATAATAATGTGTAGTGTATTATTATCATAGCTGCCGCCACAGACCACTGTGTTGACGGACGTCTCCTGCTCGCGTTTTTCCAAGGCTTTCTGGACTTTCTCGCGGCTGCGGATTTTCTCTGGAGTCAGGCCAAGCAGCTTACTAACTTCTTCACGGAAGAAATTGCGGTTTCCATAGTAGATTGGCCCATTGTAAGTCAGGATCTTAACCCCTGGCACTTCATGACACTGAAAGCAAGGAACAATGCTCTGAATACTATATATATGACTTTTTATTATTAATTTGAGCAGAAATGACGCATTCATAAGTATTTACATTATTTACATTACTTAGTTTATGAAGAACCTTTATACATTGTTGTGTTGCCTACAGTGCTTACAGTATATACAAACACGTGCAAATATGTACACATAAATATACAATCAAGCAACAGTATTTGCCATAGTTTCACCATGTGTTGGTATATTTACAATTACAATATATATTTACAAATGTATTTCAAAAGTTGAGCTAAATAAGCTGTGAAGGGCTTTTACAGATGTGCTGCTAAAGTAAAAAGAAAACTAGTCAACAATTAACTATCATTTTCTTTCTGCTCTGAGAGTGAGTAGTGTAATTGTGTCTGTTACAAACCTTGGTATGTTTTTCCAGCGGTCTGTAGATTTCTGTGTTGCTTGCCCGTCCGAGGACAGAACAGCCAGCCCTGTAGACAACAATACAACACTGTGAAGAACAACACAATCGATTTTGTGTGTGGCCCAGACACGTGCAGTTCACATAACATCAAAAACCATTTACCTCTGTGTGCGACAGATCACAGTCATCATTGAAAACACCACTCCGATGGCCAGACCCATGTCCACATTGAGCACCACTACAGACAGCCATGTCACCAACCATACCAGCTATACAGAGAGAACACAGGGACATTCAGCCCAAAACAACATTCAACACAAAACAAAAACATAGAAATTGAGCAGAATTTAGTCAAACAGATAGGACTATAGAAGGGAAAAACTGTTTCCTGTTTTCCACTTAACTATTAGAATTGCAATGTTATGTAAGTGATTGCCCTCACAAAGTCTATTCTGCTGATTCGCCACAGTTCAGGAAGGTCCTGAAACTGCAGAAACATCTGCCTCAGGCTGGTGACATTGATGCACGCGAGGACAGCCTGACAGGACAGACACAGAGAAACTCTATTAAACATGCATTTATATGAATATGAGCTCTGAAAAAATATGTGTATGCACCTTTGGTAAGAAGTAGAAAAGAGGCCCAATCAGCAGCAGGACGACAAGAACCACCAGACTGGTGAATAACCCGGACAACTAGAGCCATTAAAGATAAACAGGTTAAGTGAAATATTATAGAAATAGAATGATACTGAAAATGAGTTGTAATATTGTACTGTTTTAATTAATTTCATTTCTTTATAGTCAAAATAAAAAATAATATATAGACGCTAATTAAAAGAGACATATGATTCAACCTGTGTGTGGCCACCAGCGCTCTCCAGTATGTTGGTAGTGGCCAAAGTGGCTGAACTGGGGAAACAGGTGAAAAACGATGACACCGTGTTAGAGATGCCATGTGCCAGGAGCTCCTGTCACACAGAGACCGCAGTGAGCAAAACAACATCAAGATAATAAATTACTTAGGAAGAAGGCTGTCGTGACTGACCTGGTTTGGATGTATTGAGTAACCATGTTTATCTGCATAAATCATAGCTAAAGATACAGAAACAGCATAGCCAACGAATGTTATGGCTATCGTGTCTCCAGCAATCTCAGGAAAAGTGTGCAAAGCAGGCATCCGTGGCCTCGGGAACCTGTGCACAAAGAATAATATGAATGAGATGACCGGAAATGAGGATATAGAAAGCACGACAGGGATTTTTCTTATGCTAATCTCACCCAGCTGGAATGTGTCCAACTATCTGTATGCTGAAAGAGGAGTCCAGGGAGAAGCCATACGCCACTGCTGTGGCTATGATCACCTGCAGCAAGACTGAGGTGAATCAATCCATAAAGACAAAGTACAGATACTGAACATCCCTAAACCATATGTACTATTATAAGCTATAACTTAATGATTATTGGCTAAAAAATAAAGTAATGTACAGTATTTGTGGAAGACTTGTGTAAACTTGAAAGGAAAGATACACTTTATTGTTGCCATAGGGAGATTATTCCTATGAATTTGAATTGACCCATCTTTCTAGATTAAGAGATCCTTTATTCGTCCTACAGAGGGCAAATATCAGTGTACAGAAAAGTAGGAATAAGGAGCACACAGCACAAGAAAAATGAACAATAATTTTATACTAAAAAAACATAATAAAATCTAAAAATCTAAAAATCTCCCACTTCTAATGCCATGAGGGCAATCTGTCGTGGTCAGGACATTTGCTGAAGGACTCATGCTGTATGTTTTGAATGATGGGGAAAACTGAAGCGTCCAGAGCACGGCAAAAACATGCAAACTCCACACAGACAGGGCTTCGTGTGTGAGGCCTGAGCGCCAGCCACCGTGCGGCTGAGTGTACTGTACTCACTGTAAGTATCTCCACAGGTATCGGTGTACGCAGTTTGTGTTTGCATCTCATATTGACTTCTTTGATGGGCACCAGGACAATGAGACACAACAAGGAGATCAGCAGCTCTGCCATGTTGGTGTCACCGAGGTTCTTCATCACCGTGACAACAGTCTGAAAATACAACCCTGCATTAGACATGTTTTAGACATTGTGTAAGAATATTCATTACCTTAAAAAGAGAAAAGGTGCCAGTGTGGCGGGGTAGTCGCAGTCCCAGCATGCTTTGTAGCTGTGAGATGGTGACATGGAGAGCAGCTGCGCTTGTGAAAGCTTTTACAATGGGTTCTGACAGATAAGTGGACAAGAAGCCCAACTGAAGTCCAAACATGCAGAGCTGGAGAAAGAATGACATTAGTGCTCTTGTATTTCACTTTCATCTTCATAGTTGAACGTGGCATCACACCATGATGATTCCAGAGAGGAGAGCCACAGCCGAGGCCACAGCAATCCTCTGAGCCTCAAAATCATCGGCAGCCGAAGAAGAGGAGTTCACCTCCAGAGGAGTGGGTACAAGCTGCTCCACCACAGAGCCTGTCATCAGACTCACCACTGCAAATGTGCCTGAGCGACAGCAGAGGCATGAGGAGGGGAACATATACTATCATTATTTAAAGTACATTGGAAGCTTAATCTCACCTGTTGATACATGACGTCCAGTGCCAAAGATCATATAGAGGAGCACAGGAAAGAAAGATGTGTACAGACCAAATATTGGAGCAACTGATGTCAGTAACGCAAAAGCCATCCCTGTTGAACACAGATGTCTCTGTTCAGCCACATCTATAATTAAATACTGAATTTGATGACATACAGATGCCATAATTAACATTAAATATAGATAATAATATCAAAATTCTTAACCACTTATCAATAAATATCAAGTCACACAAAGACAATCATTTGTTAACACAGGTTTATTATAAGTGTTAGTATCTAATTGAATAAAGATTCGAGAGCTATAAAAAGTTATATATACTATACTATATATATATATATATATATATATATATATATATATATATATATATATATACTATATAGAACTTGCAGAGATACGTTACCTTGTGGAATATGAAGGACTCCTACAGTAAGTCCCGCCACAGTGTCTCCTAGGAGGCACTTCTTGGGGCTGTACGCGGGCAGCCAGTCCAGCACGGGCACTCTGTCCCGGAGCAGGTGGAGGCATGCGCGGCGTGAGCACCTGCACGCCCCGCTGAGACGCTCCCGCAGGCGTGCGTCTCCAGTGCGCTGCTCGTCCGCGCCGTAGGCCTGTTTGAAGCGGTCCTCCGTGTAGATATTCCGGTACACGGCTACAGAAGCGCTCATGATGCCGCTAAATGTGTTGGTGATAGTGCATCATCATAATCCAGTCTGTGTAGTAAAGTAAACTGTTGTCTTTTGCTTTGAATATATACGAGGGTCTGCATTGGTCTCAAGAGCCATCGCACTTTCCTGCCGGACTCCTCTCAGCCAATGACATGGCTTCGAGCTCAGGGCTTTTTTGTTACTGCGTTGAATAACTTTTTTTTCTTTCCACAAAGTCCAATCTCCAGGACCAAAGGTGTGCATGTCCAGTTTATCCCCTCTATTCCTCAGGGTCCTACTGCTCAACAACGTTTTCACTGTTGCACTAAAGTAAATGTAGACTTGCTGAAATGCCTCTTACACTCACAACACACTCTTATCTGAGCAAAGGATTATGTACTCTCCAGAGGGCTATGCTGGAGGTTCGGCCAAATGAGCCACAATTGAGCCTTACAATGTGCAGCACTGTCAGAAGTCAGGCCAGATCAAAGTGCCATTGTTAGTAGCCTTGAGGTGTAACCTCAAACCAGTCGTGCCAGTAAGGAGTTCATTTCCGAGAAGGATGGATATCTGTTTAAATTGTGTCGACACAAGTAAGAGCAAGGGCCAAGACCCTCATGAAACCCAATGACACAGAACCACCTGGTCCAGGGATCAAACCACAACTTGACTCTGATAAGGCACTTCTCATGAATGAGGAGTGGAGTCAGTGCAGGGGCACTCTGGATTTGTTATAACACTAATCCTTAACAACAATATATATAAAATCAAACTGGCTGTAATGCAATGGGTTTCCCTGCAGTGCCACACTTTTATTGAGCATCACAGCCGCCACTGTTGGAACCTGCAGAAATGCAGGTTCCAACAGTGGCTCGTAATGGGACAAATACAACTTTGATTTTTTCACATTTTCTCAAGTTTCTGGACAAAGATTTTGTTCTTCTTCTTTTTCGTGTGAAGTGAAAGTTAAGTTTGAGTTTAAGTCATTAAGTTTGATGAATTTTGTTTTGTTTTTTTAAACTGAAAGATGAGTTAATAAGATAAGATAAGATAGACTTTATTGATCTCACACAGGAGGAATACGGTCATTTGTGGAATTCTCTTTTGCAAAATTCTAATTTGAAAGTTTCAGATTAGATGGAGATTTGTTTGTGAATAGTCATTTTCAAGTTTTTCCACAGATATTCACTTTTCAACACATGTTTTGTTTTTACTGTTTCATTGTTGCTCTGGCTTTACGTTCAGGCTCATTGTCCGACTGGAAGGTAAGTTACCACTACAACAATACAGTAAGTCTTCCGCAGACTCAAGCAGGTTTTCTTCCAAAATTGCCCTATTTTAGCTCTATCCATTAGTTTTTACAAACTTCCCTGTCCCATAAAACGTTTTTTATTCACACTGAATACCTGTGTTTTTAGACCCACGTTACACGTCAAAGGGCGGGTTTGTACATTTTTGAAGCAGCTGACGGATGCCACGAATGCATTTTTTATTTACTGAATTAATTTCATAGCAGCACTCCAAAACTCTCAGTATTTGTTTGTTGCTGTGTTATTCCTTGATGGTTTTGCAAAAAGTAAACAATACATATTTAATGCAATACTTATTAAATAAATGTGTGCAATAAATGACAATTAGATCATTCTGGTAACTGGGCAGCACGGTGGCGCAGCCGTTAGCACTTGTGCTTCACAGCAAGAATTTCAACTCCAGACATTTCTTTGTGGAGTTTGCATGTTCTCCCCGTGTCTGCGTAGGTTTCCTCTACCACTAACAATATGTGCAATAGTTCAGGGTGAAAGAGTGTGTGTTTGTGGGACAACGGATGCAAATTAGCCCAAGGCTTCAATCCGGAGAGGTGTGTTCATTAACATGCACTCTCCCAGCCAAATAAAACAATACCAAATTAAAATAATTACAGCTATCTTTGGACACTGTGTTGAACAATAACTTTAGGTCGAAAGTATTTTGATAGACCTAACAACAGTACAGTCCTTTCTTTTATTCGTCATTTGAAATTACCATTTCTCAAGTTTGAAAATAAATACAATTTCTGAATGATGTCTTTTTGGTTTTTATCAAAATAACATTTAGAATCGCAATTTTACGAGTATAATGGGACCTGAGTAATCATAATTTTACCAATTGATCAAATAACCTTGGCATTTCACAGCTGTATTTCTATTGACAGATACTGTAGTACTAAGATAGTTTCCAAAATGAGAAATTAAACATGGCATTTCCATGGTAAGAAACAGATTTGTTTGAGATCAATAACAAACCAAAACACATGACGTAGTTGTTAATTCCTAGAGGTCTACTGTCTGTGTCTGTGCTGCAGCGAGCAGATGCAGTGATACAAGGGACTTCCTCTAAATGCCAGGAATGTGGGCCATTGTGTTGATCAGCTCTGGAGAATTTATGCACACAGCGACGACATGGTGTGTCTGCGCTCTGTTTAAACAAGATATTAATCAGTGGTAAAAGGAACAATGCTCTGAATACAGGATATGGAGTGTTAACCCACACTAGACAAAACCCATCATAATGCAGACACACATTTCATAAATTCAAACAATGAAACATCTCATATGTGCGGTAGGACGTGCCACAAGACGAGCTGGAGTTGTTTATGGCACCCAAAGTGTTTCAGGGCAAGGACACTTCAGAAAATAAACAAGGCATATTGTACACAGGATTAGTTGCAATGTCATAATATGATGAATGAGTTATTGTAATGTTACAGAGAGTTGTGAAGCGTCTCTTGTGGATGTATGATGTTTCTCTAATAGCATTTTGAATATGCACAAATGTATAGAATGTCTAGAATGTCATATTTGTTATATAAGGCCTACTCTAAAACAGAATCCTCTGCCTCCTCCTCATTTACCCCGAAGTGTCTCCTGTTTTTGTGGACCAGGGAGAGGCTCAGTCATTATGTGGCCTATAGTTCCTGCAATTGTTCCTTATCTGCTTTATGGGATGCTAGTGCTGACCCCCCAAGGCATGTAACTTTGGATGTGACCTTGTCTATGAGACTGGCTCCTGGTGTCTCTGTCTCCTCTCCCACCCCTTTCCGCTATTGCCTCTTTCTGAGAACCAACAACCTTACTGTTCAATGGATACCTTGACAGCATCAGTCTACAGAATGTCTTTTTCAGAGTCTTATGGACGTTCAATGCACTATAGATAATTTGCCTCACTCTATAAATGTTTATGGAATCATAGTGGTAATATGGGCGACAAGTTCCTTGATGACTTGATTTACTATTTGAGGCTATTCAATGCACCCAGAGCAACGGCCGGAGGCGAAGGGAACACAGTTTAAGCGATGCACACACAGAAGAGCAAACAGCAGAGGGGGTCGCAAAAGAACCACTTCACAGAACGACATGCAAATCCAACAATAGGTTTGTCAATAGTAGGTACCTTAATCCTCAACAACATCACTTTTATTCCATTTATAATACTACAAAGTTTTAGCTATAGAGGGTTGAATAAGTCAAGTGCTCACCTCGTATTTCTGGAAGTTCCCATTATATATCAGACTTCATCTCATGTCACCTTAAGGTTGAAGCAAACCTGTCAACTGGCGACGTGGTAGATGCTGTGTGAATGGCTGTAAGATCGCCTGTTTATCTAATCAAGGTTTAAGGTTCATGGTGATTTTATTTGTACCCATGGGTGGATTCTTTTTGCAATTAAAAAGAGATAGACTTGGCATCTAAAAAAAAAAAACATAAAATCACATTTACACAAATAACAATTAAAACACAACAGATAAGTAAATAAAATAAGGTAAACGGTCAAATTTGTCGAAAAGGTGCTTAGTCAAGACTCCAGAGTAAAATCCCATGATAAGAAATAAAGTGCAACATGCCACGGTGCAAACTGCAACCTGTTCATTAAGATGACTGCAGTGGGAACAAAACTGTTCTTAAAGCGTTTTGTACGGCATCTTGGGACGAAAAACCTCTGCCCGGAGGGCAGGGGTAAAGTGCAAATGCAGTGGGTGGGACTCTAATATGTGAATGCTATGATGACTGCTGAGTAACAACAATAAAACAAACTTCTGCTGAGACACAATCCAGGACTTCCACATCACGCCACTTTCTGGCGTTATTAACACAATTCACTGAATTTAACCATTTCAATGACCCTCGCTGTCAGTTTGGTGCTTTTTCAAAAACACTTCAGACATTCAAGAATCAGACTTTATGTTGTCACCAAACACACCAACATACATACTGCCTGGCTCCAGTCACTCTACCCCTACGCCACAGTTTAGATTTTTTAATTCTCATTCATTCATTTCTCATTGCTCAAGCCGTTTACTCTAAGGTGCGCTCCCGTGTCCGCCACGCTCACACACAAACACAGTACCCACCGTGTTTGTGTGTTTGTTTGTGAAAACCTATATGGCCGTGCCCTTAGTGTGTACGTTTTTATGAAACCGAAATTGAAAGTTGCTCAGAGAAAATTAGAACATACTTATGCTACTTTAATATACTACAGTTTTGCCCCTTTAAAGTACAGCGACCCTTTGACATTTTGATTTGTCCTGAAGTTTGTCCTGACATAATGAGGCGTTAGCGTGCATCCAGGGAATCTGGGCTTCTCTGGACTTCCTGTCTTCTGCTGATGAACATGACCTGCACCAAAGCTCACCACCAGCTCCATTTGTCAAACATCTGGGCCGTGCATCTCCTGGGCGGGACACATCCACCACCGCTCCCGAAGGACCAGTCACGATGCAACGATTTATCTTATTTACAAACTCATTATTATGATGTATTATTCTTTTAACTGAAGCCAATTCTATGTTTAAAAAGAGCAGTACACTTGCAGTGGCTTGTCCATCGTCTGAGGAGAACCAAAGGCAGTGTTTTGCCTTCAACGCTCCTCTTTGTGGCTGATGTCCGGTCTGCTCGCTGCGAGGAGACTGTCCAGACACATGTGTCTAGACTGCAACAGCTCTTATACAGGCAATATACCTTTATTACAGACTGAGGGCAAATGCTTTACTAAAACCACATGTTCTGACTTTGCTGTACCCATGTTAAGGAAGATGAACATATTTTATCTATTCATTTTAAGGGGCCGTATGTACTGCTTTTGATTGTACATTCCAAAAAAGTAACCTCTGTGTTCAAAGATAGAAGGTGAAGATCGAATGATACTGTTACAGCTAATGATCCTAATGCTTATTCATATCTAATTATACAAATTGGACATAAAGTAATTAGTGCTAAAATTGGTGTTGTATTTCTCAATATGTTTACCCAACCAGGAGGCATAATATATCATAAAATATCTCTCATTTGGTTGCAATCGCTCGTTATATTTAAACTAAAATGTCTCTAATCCAAATGGTCACAATTCCTGTCTTTAAACTATTATTATACTATTTCTATATGCAAACTGGTTCACATCACAAGCAAGAATGCAAAGTGTTTCTTGGTATTAATAGAGAAACAAATCCTAAATGATCCTAAACATGCTTCTTACAAGTGTTCCTCAATAAAACTGTTGTACGCTTGCTTGTAAATGGATCAACAGGCTCACATAAATATGTCATGTAACTTCCAACTTCGTTCCAAAGCATTGTTTTACACTGACACGGCCTTGAACTGTTTTGGGCCTAACTTTCTCTTACTGTGGAACTCTATAGGTTCAAAACCCCCATGCTGCCGTGGCCCTGCTGTAATCCACTTTCAGTATCAAAACAATGTCATTTGTGAATATATCGTTACAAAACTTTCTTCTGTGTCGTTCTGTGTGAAATTCAAAGGGCCCTTGAAAGTCACTAGTGCAGCCAAACTCTTTGACGTATGTGTCTTTTTTGCTCAAAAAAAGTTGAGTCAGCAATTATGCATTTCTTAAAGAAACAGTGAAAATGTTGAATGAGGAGCAGGGGTGACCTGTAGCAACACAACTAATTCATTATTTGCATCTATTTTGTACTGAATTTGGTCCTCTATTTTTTCTGCTGTGATCACAACAAGGATAAACCTGAAGAAGTACATACATGATACATACATGATACAAGTCGTGAATTTGACCAGTGTAGACAACAGAACTTAGCTCTACCTCAGTAACTTGACTCATATATTCAAAGAGTTCCTCAAACAGTGTGCGCAGTCAAAGGCACGTACCCGGGCTGAAGCTGCAGGGTGGAGGTGTGGACGTGGGCTCGCTGTGGTACAGCTGACGTAGATCCAGACAGATCTGGAACAAAAGCACAGGGAACTGCCTCATATGCAATACAATCAAAATATACAAATACTCTCAGTAAGGGCTATACAATGCAACGCAGTTCAGGAATGACTGTCAGATCCGAGGCCTGTCAAGCTTACAACAACCAGCAGAGAACACGCAAGAGCAAAAACTGACCTTACACAGTCACAACTCTTTATACTGGCCTGATCCTGTCATACTTTAAATGCTAAGCAGGGCAAAGCCTGGTTAGTACTGTGATGTGTGTGTGTGAATGGTTGGCAGTGCATGGAGGGGCCAAGGGCACATACTGGTTGCCTCACATCTGTCAGTATGCCCGAGGGCAGCTGTGGCTACTGATGCATCATTATTTATATATGTAACCTTTTCAACCCTCCACAGCTCTAAGGAGAAGAGATTGCCAAATTTGGGCACAAATCTCTGAGAAGTTTGAAAATGGAACAAGGAATAGGAACATTTTGGGGCTGATTCCAATGTCTGTCTCAACTTTTTTTGGAATATTTGGCTGCTTTTTCCCTCTGTCAAGTTCTTGACCATACCCCTCTATTCACAAAGCAGCCAGAATGTCACAGCACAAACCAGAAGCCAGAATATATCTATGATGTGCATCGATTCAGAAAAGTCTGTGTAACTTCAGTATTTAGTGTTCGAACGCAGCATCGCAAGTTTCATCTTTTGTGTGCATCACACACTGAAATTAAAGCTGCACTAACTGACTTTGGGATTTTGAAGCCGTGGACTCGCTGGCCTCTCTCTTTCTGCTCCCCTCCCCGCACCCACGAAGCTATCGCCCCACACACACACCCACTGTTGGGACGGAGCTAGTGTCTCTCAATATGGATAATACATGGATATGGATTTGCACGTGGATGGCGTGACCATAGAACGATAGAACCGGGAAGCGCGGAGGAACGGGACTTTCTTTTGGATGGCTGTCTCGCTGTGTAAGCAGTAACCGGTGACTAAGACGAGGAAGCTTCAGGTTAGCTCCGCCGCTTGTTGTGCTAACTCAGCCGTCTATGCTAACGGACCTGTAGATTTCTCACGAAAGTGGGGGCTAGTGGTTTGCTGTGATTGGTCACAATCTGCGACCCGAAACACATTCTCTTCCTTGTTTCATCAAAACTCGATCTAAAATATAATGTCACGCCAGCACAAATCTGCACTACTTTTTCTTCAAAAGGACGTATATCCCAATGCCCTACACGGACATGGATAGCATTTTAGTAATTAATACAAAAATAAAGTCAGTTAGTGCAGCTTTAAGTACAAAGCAGACCCTGTTAAACACTCTACTCAGAGGATCTGCAGCTTAAGGGAGGGACTGTGCCTCTCGGTGAAAGGTCTGCTCTCTATGACTGCCTTTCTAATTTGTATAGTGCCAAACAAATATAATGATCAATATAATGTCCGTGTTTGCAAAGAAAATGTACAGACAATACATATTGTAGCAAGATACATATATTTATCCTGCAATCTTGTATTGAACGATAAGTCAACGAGTCTTTGACAAAACATTGAGACTTAATGCCGTGGCCCCTCTCAGGTCTGACTGAGTCTTCAAAGCAGAGGGCCGACTCCGGCTGAGGGGCCGGTCACTCCTGCTTTCCTGAGCCGACGTGCACTCAGGGCCAAGTACACCCCAGGGAGGGACCCGAGGCTCCACCCACACGCTGCTTCCTGCTCATTGAGGACGGGCACAGTCTGCGGAGCCATTGTCCTGGTTTATCTGATGGCTCCAGTCCACATGCATACAGCCACGCCATACAGAAAGGACTAAGATCCCCCACTCTCTCAGACTTCAGAACGCTAGAAAATAGAAGGGAAAAGATGTATGTGTATGTGAAGATATGATGATATCTCTTGTTTCTCACAGGCATGCAAGCTATTGCCAGTGGATACTTTACATATTTTAAATGCAGAATTTACGGATTGAGACTTAAAATTATTCTCAGAGCTTTATGAAAATCATCATAATACAAAATGGTGCTACAATTGTCGACACAGCCATCTTACCCAAACTTATTTGTTCGTGCGAACTCAACGAGGATTCCCTCAATTCCTACACTAATTTCAAACTAATATCGGTCATAATTGCTAGAAAGATAGATTCAGTTTTGTCTAATTTCTACAGTGGAATTCATTTCAACCTGTCCCACTTTGTGAATATAAGAAATATAGACTAAAACACAATACAGTGAAATATTGGGCCATGAACAGTGAGGTTTTCCCATCTCTGACCACCAACTTGTGCTTTGCCCCTGAGGCTAATTACTTAGGATTAAAAGGCAGCCATTTTGTTCTTAGATTTACAATGACAGATGCTCTGTGTAAATAAAATATGAGGAGGGGTTTGATGAGTTACTTAGATACATAACCAAATGAGACATACATTGAATAGAACTAACTAACTTAAAAACAAAAAACCCAGCCCACAACAAAATAAATATAAGGCATTGGTTTTATAGCAAATTTTTTTGACACTCAAAGACGCTTCACATGGCCTTTTTCATTCACTCCATACTCAGAGGAGGCAAACTACACTGTTGCCACAGCTGCCCTAGGGCAGCCTGGCCAGGCATCTGCCCCTCTGACCAACACCAGTCTTTTATGCACACACCAGACTCATAGTCAATGTGGGTGAAGGACTCAAAGCCAGTGTGGTATTTTACGGCTGCCGTGCTGTGGCACAACTATCTGTTATATAAATAAACGTTTACAGGTCTGGAGAATGATTTGTGAGTAGAGAGCTTCTGCTACATAACATAGAGAGCAGTGTCCTCTTGTGGAAACACAGAGAATATAGTAGTTGCCCCATGACACACACACATACATACATGTACACACAAACACACATGTACACACATACGCAGACACACATGCACACTTAAATAGCACACAAACATGTACACACAAACACATACACAAAAGCACTAGAACACACAAACACGCGCACACACACACACACACACACGCATACGGTCTGGGCCGCCGTGGATTCCCATAGAGAGACTATTGTGCGATGCTTCAAAGGGAGATCTCTGTAATGATCAGTGGTATCAGTGGCTCATGAGTGAGGAGCAGCCTGTGCAGGTGCTTTAGAAAGAGGAGGGGCGCGGGGGAGACAAGAGGCTCCCATTTCACCCTCACAGATTCATAAACCACCAATCATTTGACCTGATGGTGATGAATACATAATAGCTGGAAGGATGTTTATTTTCATTAATAATCCCATACTATAAATTGACTTACAGAATGTAGCCAGTTACAGTAAAATAGAGAATATTTTAACCTGCTGTCTAAATCCATCATTTCATATTAATTTGATTTTAAATTGTAGGATATTATTTGTGATACCGGTATTTGTAATTTAAGTCATATAATAATACATAAATTAGGAGGATATTGTTGTCTCAGGAATTTCTTGATTTCCATATAATAGATAAAAGGTTTATAGTTAACCCTTCTGGATATTTGTATCTAGTGAATGCCATAATTTACCAAGTCAATAAACTTCACCTCATTCTATTTAGATTCCATACCAACAACTAGACTAAAACACCAGAACTAAATCACAACATGAAATAATTGCAGCTCAAGATAAAATAACCCAAAGACGATTCATTCATCTCGATCATCTCTACTTTCTCATCTCCTTTTCTAAAGATCAAGCAATGGCAAAAAGTTGAATAATTCTCCCTCTTTGATCTGCACACACAAGTGAGAGTTCATTTCCATTTTTGATTTTTTTTTCCCCCTTTCCTTTCTGTAAGAGTGCCAGCATCAAGATTTACCTTGGTGTGCAAATGTGCTGGAATAGGTTAAAAGGAAATCTCGCTGCTCTCTCAAAGCACAAGTGCAGATGTTATGAAGTTAATTAAAAATTTAGCAATTCGTTTCTCCCGTCCCAATTTAGGCTGCATCAAACTGAAAGAAAACAGACATAAAATGACTTATGAGAGAAGTCCGTGCATTCTTTCTTTTAACACGAGCAGCGTAAGGTGTACTAATGCAATGTTAAATCTCAAATCAGCACCACCTTTTTTCATTCTTTACAAACATCCTTCTCAAAAATGTGACGTGATGCTATGCTAAAAAATCAATAGAAATTCACAGAAAGATGAACATTGGTGGAGTCAGATATTATGTATTTTCCATTCTAATTTGATTCAAACTCCCTGATTGAGTAGACAACAGTCATAAAGACTCCCCCATCCTCCAATCTGCCCAACAAATAAGCAAGCTTTATCATTGTTTACTGAAATTGCATCAGTATGTTGACATGGGCCTCGAATCTTCTCCTAACTCTTAGATCTCCTCCCAAATAATAGCACCATCCGTGAAAAGGGTGTCAAGTCTCTGGATGCCCCCACCCCTGCGCGCTGTAGCAGGAGGGGAGAGCAGCAAGAGGGTGGGCTGCACAGGTGTAGCTGCAGCTGCGTATCCGTACATGGGCGTTAGCATTAGCCCTGTGTGCTTCCTTCTTCCCCAGTGGGACCCCCTCCACCCCTCTTGCTTCTCCGCTGAGTGATATTACAAGCGGCAGGCGCGCTCCTCTGATCTGCGTGCACTGGGCTCCCATCGCGGTCCTGGGTGAATAGCGCTTGACTTGTTCAATTTGTTTAGAAGCAACGTTCACTGCTTTGAAGCCACACGTTTTAGCATAAATCATAACCTGTCTCCTCGTGCACAACAGCTTTGAAATGCAACATCTGCTTTTGAATCCCCCTGCTTTACAATTAGTTAGGCAACATCAATAGATTGACTTGAGTAATTTTTCTTCATAATGAAGTCCTTTGTACACGCCTGAGGGCATTGTAAAAGACCCCCTTGAATTTCACAAAGGCCAAGGTCCGAGAAGTGGTCAGCCTCCACCAATGGAACGTCCTATCAACCGCTCTCTCCAATCAAGAGTGCACTAATTGAGGTTACCCTGCATGCGCTAACCTACTTAGGAAGTGTCATGGTTGTGGGGCATGTTCGCGCAGCCATGTTGTTTACTCTTTCATCACGCACTTCAGGTTGCCTGTTTGTTGGTTTGTTTTGCAAAGCAGAGCCTTCTGTTGAGCACTGGGAAAAGTGCGGAATCCAGGTCCCACAGAGGAGCCTGGCACTGACACTGAGAAGGCTGACTTGTCACTATTGGTTTGTCTGAATGACAGTGATGCCCAGGTTGGGGTCTCCAGAGGGACAAAGCAGGCCCAAACCAGGTGCGTAAGCGTCTCTGGTAGGAAGTGTATTCAAGTTGAAAAGTAGAGATCACAAGTTAATCCAAATAGGGAAATACTGTGGCAAAGTTACAGTCTCTAAACTAATCAGCTGCAAACATCTCACCATGTGCATTAAAAATTCCTTTTGCAGTTTTTTTTCTGAAGTGGAAAATAACAATCCCAAATATTTTATTTTCAAAGGCACGTATTTGATCAGTAGTCATCAATTAAAGTTACTGTGGTGCACATTATATCAGCAGAGTTAGATGAAAGAGGCGGCGTGTCATCGAGGCCCCTCCTGCACCGCGCTCGCCTGGGTGTATAAGCGCACAGAGCTGAGGATGACAGTGACACCGTGACACTTCCTCACATCTGACGGAGGTCTAATGTCATGTGGCACCAGAAATACCCATTTACAGATACAACTACAGGAGAGCTGCTATGTGCCCCACTGCATCTGTGTCACAAACCTTATATTGCTACATACAGTACTCACAAATTCTTATTTTTAGTCTTTGAGAAAGCAAATGTGAGAACTAGTTTAAAAAGTAGATGTCAGGGAGGTTCATCTTTGAATGGCCTGGATGAGGCTTTAAAGATGAAAAAATATGCATTATTTTTAACCATCAGAAATGATAATGAGTCTATGTACTTTGTCATTTCATGTTTTAAAATGTTAATTAATATCTTAAGTAGAAAATACAAGGTGAAACTTGTATGAATGAATGGTTTCTGCCTCTTGTTGCTCCCACTAGAGAGAAGGGTAAACTTGAACATTTACGGTACAGCCATGTGATTGTAAGAGCGTAATTTAACCCGATAAAATGACAAAACCAATTTGTGGGTTTTCATTTTCTGTTGTAAGCGAGAAAACTGCTCTGAGAGTGATGTAGTGGTATAATACCAACCTAATAGAGGGGCCTTTAGACAAAAGGGGCAGAGATAAATGTTTGTACCAAAAGTTCCTGATATTAGTGTGAATGGATCTGAAAACTACAGGTATGTTTTGAAAAACCGCTCCCATTAGTAATGATAATAATAATTGAATATAGATTATGATTTTTATATAAACACAAATGCAAAATATTTTGTTGTTTGTTTTTATTATATTCTTGGGACACATTTTTAACCTACAAAGTGTACGTGGACAATTGTTGTTGTATATATTTACTGCTGGTACAGTTATAATATGCTGTGTTCATTGGTGTAAATTAAATGTTTTATTATGTTTTCACTCAATGACATTCTTGTGTTTGAGGCATCTGTGAAATGATATCCATATCAAATTATATCCATAACAAAAATGATGAATATGCATTATTTTTAAAGAATGAAATGTTTTTATTCATGAAATGAAAATCCTGTTTTGTTACCACTGAGCAAAGAAATAAAAAAATGTACAATTTATTACACAAAAAATATATATACTTTTTAATAATTTTGGTTTTGGATTGTTAACTACTAAGATAAGATAAGATAAACCTTATCTACTACCTACTATGCCCAAAGATTTGATATTCGACTTCTCACTTAGTTTCCCACTGATTGTACTGTGGAGATGCTACTGTATGGCGTCCCCCCTGATCACATGTGGCGTTAGATCAGACACATTTATTCATGTGACAGGTGCTTCCCGCTCCACTGCAGACTCTAGAAGCTGCTAGCACTGGTCCCATACACCACCATACTCCTCTTCTGATAATATTATTGTCAAGTGTCCTCGCTAATTATTTCCCTTTGTTCACGGCGGTGTAAACGCATGTGAAGACGCTGTGTGATTGATCATACCATTGTTTATTTTTCCTTTGTCTGCTTTTTTGTATTATTTATTCAATGTAGTGCTATGCAGACAGACGAATGTAGGGAATATGTCTTTTTAGGGAATTTACACAGCAAATCCTATGAATAAACAATTCCCAGTAAATTAGTTATCATCAATTTTAAATGTGCTGGGGAAATGGATTAAAATAAAAAGCAGCGTGTGCAAAAAAGTGTGAGAGAGGCTACTTTTAGCACAAAGAAACTGCTTTCGTCTTCGCCAATGTTCACCACAAGTAAGCATGGGTGTAGTTGCAGCCATCATATTAGGAAAAATAATTCAATAAACTAATGATGAAATATTAACACAGATATTTAAGTGAAAGTAAAGTGAGCATATGATATATTGTATAGTCCACCCGCTTCACCGTTTTGATAGAAAAATCCATTTCTATAGCTGTGCTCAGGTACAAATGTGTTTGTATCCGGTGTCTGTCCTTAGTCATGCTGATAGAAAAAATGTTGATTAATATTTCAAAAATATTGTTGGTCCTGATTGATGTTTTTGTGTTTATCATGTTAATCCATGTGTTGTTATGTGTTTTAACTGCTTTTACATCATAGCCTGGGATTATGAAAAAAGCATAATTCTGGCTTTTATATTCATGTTTAGTAGCACTGTGCGCTTTCCAAATATATGTAATCAAACTTATATAAATAATAGTAATAATCACACATGTGAATACTAGTGGTGTGCTTTCGTTATAACGCTGCAACTGGATGTCTTCCTTTGCAGATCAAACCCCATATTTTAAACGCTGAAGCCTTCAAAGTGTGTCACATCCTATCGAGATGATGAAATGATTCTGAAGTAGCGTGAAAGTGACATTTGGCAGATGAACTATATTTCTCTTTATCACCTCACACTTCCTGTAGTCAGAGCTTTGATAAAACATGAAACATATTCTCTGCACCTCACTCAGTGACAAGTGTTCCAGCTTGACTGATGTGACGGAGGTGAACTCCAAGTGTTGATTGTAAAAATGTTGAAAAGGTACAAATTTGTCCTATCTATCAAAAGAAACTGTAAATCAATAAAAGTCTCAAGTATTTGTCCACGTATCAGACTTGGACCAACAACACCATCATGATTGGGGGTGTGCTATGAAGTAGGGCTGCAAGATATTGGATATTAGAGCAATAATCGATATGAGTGTTTAGTATTTTGATAACGATATTATTGCAATATTCTTGTCTTACACAAAAAATTGCAATCTGCATTGAAACGCAAGAGACAAGTAACAAAAATTAATGACCTTCAAATGAATATATTCATATACTTTTTTGTTTGTTTGTTTGTTTGTTTGTTGTTCTTGTTGAATGTTGATGTGTCTGTCTGTTTTTTTGTCTTTAATAAAGGAAAACAATAATAATAATATTGCGCATCTTTTTGATACCAATATTGCGATAACAATATTTTTTTATATATATCGTCCTACTATAAAGTACATTTTTAGATAAATATTGATATGTGTGGAATGAAATGCAATATATATATATATATATATTTATTTTTTTTAAACATCAATCTGCTGATGCTCAGACAGCAGTCAGCAGAGACACCCAGACTTCCCTGAGGCGTTCGAAGGCCAGCTGGGAGACATAGTCCCTCCAGTGTATCCTGGGTCCTTCCCCGGGGTCCCCTTCTCAAGCATCCAAAACAGATTAAGAAGTGGCTCTACTCCAAGCTCCTCCCATGTGACCCACCGTCACGATAAAAAATATACAACAAATATAAATGCATCACGGGTGTTTTATTTTTGTTCAAATGGGGCAGAGCGTAAATTAAGTGTCCAAAAGCCTTTATTTTTACTGAATCAGGTGCTAGTTTAACCGGCTTCATACAACTGGCGTCTATCAAAAGAAACTTCCAATTCTTTGGAAGACGTGAGGACCAAATCAAAACGGATCATATTATTCCTTTTCCTTAATGCAAAGTTAACCGATATTAATGATTTGTAATTCCCCGCTGTGGGACGAATAAGGATCTCTTAATTTCTTGTTTATTAAAGGACTTTTGGGGATGTCGTTGTTGGACTTGTCCACCGTTCACTATAAGTTTGAAGCCCATGATTTCTTCCATGTCTCTAAATCTCTCTCTCCTCTCCGTCTCTGGGAGTATGGTGCATGTCAAGTGATTGTTGAATTGAAATATTGATGTGGAGTATCAAAGCATGGCGTAGCACTCCTGTGTTTCCAGAACTAACCACGAAGCGCTTTGATCACACACTCCTGTGATCTGACTTCTGAAGTTGTTAAGAGTGCTGGAAAACAAAATGCAAACAAACTTCAAGTGCTCTTGATATTGATAAAAGTTTTCTCTGACAAGTGGAGATGCATGCTGTCTGCCTGCGTTTGCCCAAGACTGGAGATTTTGGGGTTTCGTACACAATAATGGACAAGAGATGAGGGAATAGTTCTTCACCGCTCACAGAGCTAACTACAGGGATGGGAAGTATTTAAACCCTGCTGTGAGCCGAGACAACAGAGGAGGGAATTCTCACTCACTTTGACTCACTTTTGGTTTTGTGAATGAAAGATTTTGAATGCGTATTGACTGGAGGTTCAAAAGTGTTGTCAGCCTTCACTTCAGTCATTTGTTGGATAGATAAATTAATGTTGTCGTTGGAAGTGCTTCATGGAA